AGCAGCGGTTCACACCACGAAATCTCACCAAGGTGCGTGATTTTGCATTCTATGTGCACACACGTGTGCTTATTTGTAAAGTGTTTCAGTGAACACGTTTCTCGGGAAGGAGTCGCTGACCTCCAACGGGCCATGCAAAGGAGAGGTCAATGATGGCCAGCGTGGCCAGTGCCTGCAGTGGGGCCGCGGGGCTCCTGTCCCAGAGGACCCAGCTCCGTGGGAGACAGGCTACGAGAACGGAGCCCCCATGGAGGAAGGACCAGAAATGTCGGAGGCCAGCTGACGCACGACACCGGGGGAGCTGGGGGAACCGGCGATTGTGGACCAGGGCTCTACCGTCCCTCCCACAGGCCCTGCTCTGCCCTCAGACTCCGGGAACCCACCGCAGGCATGTCCAGCACGTCACCTGATAACGGCAGAGGGAAGGGGTGCAGCATGGGGGACCTGTGTCTCTGCGCCCCAGCCACATGGCTCAGCGTGAACTGGGCCATACTAAACAGACTGCAGCGCTGACCTGAGCAGCTTTATCAAAACCAGACAAAAACACAGTAGTACCATGCGTCCAGGGCACCATCCTGGGTCACGGAGGACAGACTAGGGGGCTGCACTGTGATGGACGAAGCACCCCACCGTGCTCTCTCCCGGAACAGAAGCCACACACTGAGGAAAGCACCAGCCAACGAGCTGCCACACTTTATTGCTCCTCCTGCACCATCTTCCATCCACCCAGCTCGGGGCCCGGGGCCAACTGCACTGCCCCACCCGCAGGCCGACACACGGCTGAGTGCCCACCCCTAACATGAGAAGCTTCGTGCATATTCCTAGTCGGCCAGTCCCAGGAGGCCTGAAAGGGGGCTGCCCGAGTCCATCTGGGGGAGGGGCTCATTCTCACCAGCCAAAGGGCATGCCTGCTCCACAAAGCCCGACTGTCCTGATCAGCTCTTATCTGCTCCGGATCAGAGCGTCTTTAACTAGCGATAATCGTGGTACTTTGGTTTCCTGATTATTAGGGCTGCAGGGTCACCTCTCTCTACCTGAGGTTCCTGCTGAAAAGCAGACTTGATTTCAATTCTGAGGCTGCCTCTGATCCAGTGGCCACTGCCCGCCGCCCTCCCCACCAGGAGGAAAGGCCTCACGCTGTCTGCCCCTGACCCATGTGGCACCAGCTCCCTCTTTAGAAAGAAAACACAGATTTAAGCAGAGAAATAAAGTCCCGCCCCTCTCAAGCTGAGAGGGGAGCCATCGGCCAGGGCGCGAGCTGGCCCGGCGGTGGCCTCACTTTCGGGCGAGCTCCAGCACCTCCTTCACCATGGCCCCGGTCCCGTCGTGGACGTGGTGCAGCGCGGTGTCGCACATGAAGGCCGGCGTGGTGACCACCTTGTTCTTCCGGTCCACGTGAGCTTCGTGCACACGAGTTAGGGAAACCCATCCCGCAGCGAGGGGGTCTGGCGGAAAGCAGCCCCAGCCACCGCCACAGACGTGTGTCCCGCCCCGCCATCACCAGGAAGGGTCATTCTGCACCACCTGTGCCACCTCTGGGAGAGCCGGTAACAGGTGTCCCGGCAGCAGGCTCAGGGACCAGCACCCCACAGAGCCAGGCCAGGTGCCAGCACTGCCAGGAGCCCACGACCCTGAAGGCGGAGGCAGCCCCGCATCTTTCAGATCAAGAAGCCACACTTAGCCTGTGTGAGCGCCTGCCACGACCACCATGGGCAGCCCGACCCGGGACCCACCCTTGACCCCATCAGGCTCCTGCCCCACATCACCCACACCCAGCCTCGCCTCCACCCTCAGACCCGCTCCCTGGACTCAAGCCAAGGCCCCAGGGCTGGCCACCCTACGCTGATGGGAGGTGGACACTTACACCTGAAACCGCCCGCAAGGAGACACAAACCCTAGGAGAGCAAGCCCCCTTCGGACAGATGCCCTTTGGGACAGACATCCAGAGGGTAACGGGCTGGCCTCCAGCACCTCCTCAGGCAGTGTGCTGCTCTGTCCCAACTCCGGCCCACATGGAGACCCTCTGCGTCCAGATGCGGACCAGGACGGTGGTCAGCCTGTGGCCTGAGGCTCTCCAAGCCCACAGATCTCTGCCCCAGTACCCTGGCACCCTCAGTCCACCACCTCCCAACACAGAAGACCCACTCACGGGACAGAGGTGATGAGGCTGCCTGGCGCAGCAATCCATCCACATCACCCAGGGAACTTCTCCCAAATAAAGACAGGAAGCCCTCAATCCCCCAAACTCCTTCCACCCTGCCAAGGGGCACTCCTTCTCCCTCCACCTCCAGGCAGCACCCCAGCCTCTGCACCACGGGTCATCCCCCTCAGGCCCAAGGCTGTCTCCTTGCCCAACTGAACGTACTGTGGGCCTGGGGTGTGCTGAGCTCAGCCAGCGTCACTGCAGGGACTTGGGAACTCAGCATGAGACGATGGAGGCGTCACCACCTCGGGTACTACGTCCCATCACACACATGCCCTGGGCACCCCCTGCAGGGCAGCACGGAGGCGCCAGGGGTCCCCCATGCCGCTCTGGATGCTGGAAGGATATGGTCACTTCCTTCACACAGTGCTTGGCGCCCAGGGCTTTGATGGCCTCCGCAGTCCCAGCGTATGGCCACCTGCCGCCTTCCTCCTGCTCGTGGCCCACAGTGACCTCGATGCCGCTCAGCACTTTGGCCGCGAGGACAGGGGCGATGCAGCACAAGCTGAAAGGTGAAGAGAAGAGGGTCGGCTCAGGCTTGTGCGTGTGGACATTGGGCTGGGGCACGGCAAGGCCACTCGGACAACACGGCTGATCTGGAAAAGGGGCACTACCCTAGTGCCATGGGGGCGAAGGACAGTTCTGAGGGCTGGAGGCTGACCCCTGACCCTGGGTTGCCCGCAGCGGTGGCGATGGTGGAGCTGGGGGAGCCTCTGGGCACCCGGTGCTGGCGGGGCAGCCATGGAGGGAGGCTAGCTGAGCCCAGCTGCTGGATGCGCACCAGGAACCTGATGTGGTGTCCAGAGCGGGGAGGCTGACTTAAGAGAGGAGGCCACAGATGGCCGAGTTGTCTTCGGCCCCAGATTGAAGGTCAGTGGTCACGTGGAAGCAGAGAAGCACAGCTGTAGGGACTGGACGGGGGCGCAAGAGCCCGGGGAGCTCGACCCTGCAGAGCACTGAGCCCTCCCCTCCCCACAGACAGGCCGTCCCGGGACCCTGAGCCCTGCAAGTTCACACTGGACGCCTGTCCCCAGGGTTCCTCCGAGGACCTGCTCTTCACCAGGGGGTCTCCAGACCAGAAGATCATGAGCCCATCAGTTTAGTCAAAACCAAGGCTTCCGGGAGCCAAGGGCCCACCAGTGTCCTGTCCCCAAGAGGACACACGGGACATGAGCCACAGCAGCACCAGGCCAGGCTGGCCCGTCATGCACCTGTCAGGGACGGCCCCCTCCCCAGGGGGGCTGCACCCCTGCCTCCTGGTTCTGGCTCTCTGTATTGCCTTCAAAGGCCCCATGTCCAAGCTGCTGTAACGAGCTGGAATAAAACATCATACAAATGTGTTCACACACTTGCTGCACGTCGTGACACCTGAACAACCTCTACTTAGGGACCTGAGATAAACCTCTTCAGACCCAAATGGGTGAGACGTCACTGGAACTGACACCTTGGGAGCCTGCTGGGTCGCGAGGTTTCACAGGCGCCCAACGTGCGGTGGGCGATCTCCAAAGATGAAGGCCACGCCATGAGCCTCCAGTCTGGCCATTCAGGCTGCCCGGCCGTCTCTGGCTGTGAACACCAACGCTCCCGCGCTGGGGGAGGGACGCACCAGGCAGGCGGCAGAGCCGTGGAACCCCACGCTCTGTCTGTGCAGTGGAGTGGTGGGACGGCTCGGTGCACCTGGCCTGGGAAGGGGGCCTGCCAGAGGCGGGATAATGCTACTGCTGCTGGAAAGAGAAGGCCGAGCAAAGCGCTGCAGGAGGAGCTGAACAGGGCCCTAATGACACAGGGCGGTGGGTACGTGCAGTGTCCCCATCCTGCGCCCCACCCAGGGGAGCGGGCTGCTCTCCATCTGTGCAATCGAGTGGGCGGGATGCCCGCAGTGAGGGGGCCAATCTGCTCAGCATCTGTCCTGTCTGTCGTGCTGCTGAATCCACCACAGAGGGCGGGCACTGGGGCCCTCCCTGGTGCCCGCCTGCATGAACAAGTGCTGCCCCCATGAGGCGTCCCAGGAGGCGACCGACCTCCCTCCCTCCCTGGGCACCAGCTCCTCCGTACCCAGGGGCACGGAGGGGGAAGCGGGAGGTGCGTCTGCGGGCTGACCAGGCAGGGCCCCCAGTGGTGACAGTGGGTCCATGAAGGACGCTGACCCCTGGTGGGACCCGTCCCCTCCAGTCTCCGTGCCCCAGTCAGACTGGTAACCTCGTTCCTTTCCAGTCGGATGATAAAAGGCAGCGAGCCACCTGGCAGAGGGCCTGCTCACCACGGCGCTGCTGAGAGGCCTCCCCAGCCAGGAACGACCCCAAGCCTGCAGCCACTTGCTCCAGCACCGCCCTGGGACACTCAAGTCAGAGCAGGACGAGGAGCCCCTGCTGGGACGCTGGTGGGAAGGGCCACCGGACCAGCAGGTCTGACAGCGGAGTCGCCATCACTTGTTTCTGGGGCCTCCGGGTGTGGTTACGGCCGACCTCACCAGGCTGAGGACAGGGGTCCAGGCATGGGCTGTGGCTGGGCTCGTGATGTGGCCCAGCATGCAGCTGCAACAGAACCCAGTCCTGGGGCAGCAGAGAAGGATTGGCCCGTGGCCCCCGGGGAAAGCAATCAAGAGCCACGGGTGTAGGAGACGATGCCCGTGGCAGCGGTGGCAGAGCACCAACGGGGCAGCAGCTGAGGGGCCGCTCCGAGCCGCGTCAGGAAGGCGGCAGCCAGGCGCAGGCCAGGCAGGGATGGATACTCTGCTGGACGCTGACAGAACTGCCCCTGCCCCCAACTAGGTCATCAGGAGAAATTACTATAACCACATAACCACAGAATTTTCAGAGCTGGAAGGCACCTGTGACATCGCATGAAACCCCCTGGGTTATAAAGAGGAAAGGGGCCGAGTTTCCAAAAGCACACAGCTCAGAGCAGCAGCTCCCGCAGCGCGCCCGGCCGCCGCGCCCACCCTGCAGGCCGCGCGGCACACGCACCCGATGGGCTTCCCGGCCTGGTGGAACTCCTTCAGGACGCGCTCCACGTCTCGGTCCACCCGGCAGTCTTTCCCGTCCACGGCGAACGTGCTCCTGCCACGAGAGAAGAGGCCTCCTGAGATCTCGGGGCCCCACGCCTGTGTGGGGAGCCCCCAGTCCACCCCAGGGGCCCCGTGTTCCCTTAACTTCTCAGCAACAGGAGTAATTAACAAGTGTGTGTCCAAGTACGCGTATGTGGCCTTTTATATAATCATACATCTTTCTTTTGTTTTTTAAAATATAAAGTAGCATAGAAAGAAAAAGGAGGGGGGACGGCAAAGGTGAACGGGGAAGCTGCCCCAAGTTGGTGGGGGCTCAGGCCCTGAGCTACGCCCACACGGTCCTTGGGGGTCGATCCATCAATCGTGGAGCAACAAGATGTGCCACCAGCGATGGAAACTGCACCTTGCAGCAAGGGGAAGAGATGCAGAGTGCACAGGACCCCTCCTCTCTCTCCCGACAGCAAGATGCTGAGGTGTCTGCAGTGGTCTTCCTCTGGCTGGCAGGCTCGCACCGGTACCACCTCTTGGGAAGATAAATTGCTGAGACTCAGCAAATGTCAAAGACCACACCTGTTTGCCAAGAGCTCTGCTTCCTGTTCTTGGGGTCGATGCCTCTGCCCCGGGTGCCTGGTGGTTGAGCGCCCAGGACAGGACAACTCATGGGCATGCTGGGTGCTCGCTACCGTGCCGTGGGGCTGGCTTCCCAGGGTGTGTATGCGTCTCAAAGTGGGTCAGATTCTACACTTTAAACACACATGCGTCACTCTCACCTCCAAAAAGCCACGAGGATGAAAGAGGACTGGAGGCCACGAGCCCCCATCAGCGCTGGGGGGCTCACGCAGCGGGGTCCACATGTGCAGCTGTCAGACAATTAATGGACGAGCTGCAGAGCTATGTGAAAACACGCAGCGCAGAACAGAAGCTACCGTTTGGCTGGATCTTTAACACAGCCGTATGGCTCAACCTCTCGGAAATAAAAAGCCAGCAACGGTACCAGGGAAGGGTCCACAGGAGGACCTGGGTTTCCACAGTGGACATCTGTCACACCGACCTTGCCTGCTGCCCACTGCCTGCCACTCAGGAGACCACCAATGCGGAGCCGGCATTTCTTTGGAAAGGTCAGAATGGGAGCAGCGGCCACAGGCTGCAGCTTCCCCAGGGGTGTGAGCTCACACATGTGCAAACGTATCCGAAGCCCTGCTTCCTCGCGCGCCAACGCAGCCCACCGCAACCCAGGGCTCCTGGAGCCGGCACTCCTCCATCACCCGAGGTGGGTCAGCCACGCCAGGGACACATCCCAGCCGACCCTCTAACTACCCTCACACCAGACTACCCTCCCATGGGCTCCTGGTCACAGAGGAGCTCTGCCATCTCCCAGCCAACCCCCAACAGACCCTCAAACTACCCTCACCCCAGACAAGATCTAAGGGCCGAGGGGAGGTGATAGGTTTGTGAATCCAGCTCATCCTTCAGAGAAAGAAACCCTGGTTGCGCTGGAAGCACAAGTTCAGCTGCAGGAAATGACCCACTGTTTCCTGCCAGGAGGCTGACGAGGACGGTGACACGGAGAGAGCACTCCAGAGGCTGGATATGGGGAGAGGGGTGCACGTGAGGAGGGCCAGTGGTCCCAGAGGGAGGAAGGACTGTGGGAAAATGAGTGGAAACCTGGAGAAAGGAGGTGTTCTGGTGACGCCCGCAAGCGAGGGGGCCCGTGAGGTGCCAGGAGGCGGAAGGGCCAAGAGCAGAGCTGGACTTCAGGGAACAGAACCACCTCTGCCCTCACTCCGGGGTGCACTGTCTGCCTGAGGTCACAGCCAGGCACTGTGTCACCAGAGGCCCCGGGCCTGGGACGGAGCAACGTTCTCATCCGTGACACAGGAGAACACCTGATTTACGGGTCTGTTGTTTCCGTCTGTACGTGCGTAGTCCAGGTGGTACGCACACTACACTATGTTTAAAACCCCAAAACCGCAGGACACAGCTGCTTCACATCTTCTCGCCCCGTGACAGCTGCAGGTGAACCCTTCTGTCTCCAGAGCAGCAGCCCTGCACCACTTTGGGAGGGATGTGCCGGGACCGCGAGGCCAGAGCGGGAGGAGGGCGAGGAACGAGAGAACAGAATAATGACCTGGAGCCCAAAGCACCTCACAGCCTCCAGGAGAAGGTCCACTTATCATGGCAGAAACCCAAAGAGCAGCCTGAGAAAGGACACCCTTCCCCGTCAGGACCATCATCCAAACAGCCCCACCAGAAAAGCAGTTTTCCGCACCACAAGGTCCACAGGAGAGCTGGTGACCATGGGGAGCACACACACATGTGGGGAGAGTGGTTTTGCTGTGATCAGACTCCACATGGCACCTCGCTCAGAGGGCGCCCGTGTCCCCAGCAGCGGCCAGGCCCCACCGGCCAGGCTCCACCTGCGCGCTCAGGAAGAAGCCGAGGAAATGCGGCCAAGCCTCCTCCCATAGGTTCCTGGTCACAGAGCAGCTCCACCACCGCCTGGCTGACCCCCCAGCAGCGGCTCCCGTCACCACCGCGTCCCCCTCTAACGCTCCAGGGGAAAAGCAGAGGGACCCGAGCTGGAACACGCACAAGTTTTTGGCAGCTCCGAAGCCCCCGGGGAAGATGGCAGCGTCGTGGTCAGCGGCACGGAGCTTGGCCAGGTCGGTGATCTTGCCACGGGCAATCCTTGCCGACTCTGTCAGAACGTTCCTGGAAAAGAGAAGAGAAAGGCCCCCAGAAAGGTTCAGTGCGCCGACAGACAACAGATGGAGGGGCAGACGGGAGACAGGTGGGAGAAGCCCACCACGGGACAGGAGGATGCACTCTCCCAGCCTGGGGAAGCGCACTCACAGGCTGGGGTCGCTTTCCAGGAAAGGTGCCACAGCCACAGGGACCTGGCTCTGTGCTCAGATCAGACTGGCACTTAAGAACCTCCCCAGATTATGCAGCCTCCTGGTCGGTCAGGGCCACCAGGAAGACGGGAACCCTTCCGCACACCTGAGCAGACGGCACACGATGCAAGGAACTGGCAGATGATGGAACAGCGCGAGGACAGCTAAGAAGCATCCTCGAGGGACAAGCGAAACAGCCCCAGGACCGGCCACGAAAGGAGCCCCTGTGAGCCCAGGCTGTGCAGCCCCGGGCCAGTGTCTGGCCAGGGGGACCGCAGCCCCCAGGAGTCAGAGCCGCTTCTCCCCACCGCCCCATCTGGAAGGCACTTGGGAGCCACAGCCTGCAGTCCAGGCAGGGCAGGAGGGGAGAGGTGGGTCTTAGAGGACACAAGGCCAGGACTGCACACCCTCAGGGACAGAAACGCTTCTAGGAGCTGCTCAAAGACACTTGGGGCCCAAACAGGTGAATGAGGTTCGTGACCAGATGCACACACACGCCTCTGGTCAAAATGAAGGTACGAGGGGCTCACTCAGTGGGAATTTTCCTTCACTGTTTTGGCAGCACTGGAAGGTGAAGAACATTCCAAGGCTCAGAGCTTTATCACAGAACAGCCTGAGGACTGCTGCTCTGAAGTCCACCAGAATATGGACTTGGCTCCCAGCTAAGATGAAGTAACTGTGTGCAGGATCTCAGGGAGTTTCAACTCACCGCCGTGCACATCCCAGGGTGAGTGGGGGCACATACCTGCTCTCACCCTCAGAAGGCTGCCCCTTTGTGTGGTCAATCACGTGCATCTGAGAGATGTCAGGAGCAAAGATCTGGACCTCGGCCCCACCACGGCTCAGGTGAACCAGGATCCTGCCCGGGAAGAAATCAGACAAGTCTCTGACGTGTGCCCAATCCAGCTTTACCTTACAATGGGTTTTTATAAAAAGAGTTTTAGCTGAGTGACAACTAGAAACCCCTTTCCTAAGTTAACCTCTGTTTACTTTGCAAAAAATTATGGTTGGCTTACTAACAACCGTTTGAGTGTAATGTCACTGAACTGTCTATGAAGACCACTGAGCCCTGAAGCTCCCTTTGCAAACCAGGGCGCAGAGACAGGTGACCCGGCTGGTGTCACAGCCTGGGTATTTGGGTTCCTAGGCTACTCTGGGGCACTCTTCCCCCAACAGGCCCATCGACGATGGCCTTGAGGGTTTGAGAGCTTTTGCTCTCCAAGGTGAGATCAGTTCCTGGGCTCCACTCCCGTCAAAGGAGTGGGGACACGCAGGCATTCCTGAGGGCTGTGGACTACCTGCCTCTGTCCCTGCCCCCAGAGGCAGCATTTACCAAGGGTTGCTCTGTGCCAGGCCTAAGTCCAAATGCCAGCAGGCAACCCATCCCCCCCTTACAGACAGGGAGTGCTGTCACTACCCCCTTACAGGCAAGGAGGAAGCACAAGAGTGTGACCCCAAGGTCACAGCCCTTCACTGGCAGGGCTAGGACCACCTGGACTTGGACGCTGCTCCTCGGAACCTCTCAGACACACACACAACTCCTTGCTCTGCTGGGAAGGTTTTAAGCTGCTGGCGGCTACTCCAGCCTCCTCCTCTCGTGCCCCCTCTCCCAGCCTCCATCAGGAAACTCGTCTGGCCCTCTGCCCCCACCAGCCCAGCACACTCCAAAGTTCGCGACATGTCTGGCCAACACCAGCACGTGCTGGCCATTCCCAATGAGAAGGCTGGGCAGCCGTGCATAGTTACCAGCCTCTGGCTCCTCTGGGTACCAGAGAGGCCCTGGGCTTGGGACGGGGGTGTTCCCCAACCATTACCTAGCTCTCCCCCACAACTTAGACTCCAAACTTGACAGTCCCCACCGTCACGCTCACAGGAACTTCTAAGCAAATAAAAAATCAAAATGCAAACTACTGAGCAACAGCTGACAGGTTACATCTGTGACACTCATCTACAGAGGCGGCTGCACAGCCCTTAAAACCGCGCCGTAAAGATAGAAAATAGCTCTGGTTCCAAAACGCAGGACAGTGTGATTCCAACAGCGGGGGGTGGAAAAACAGCAGACGGGGGTGTGAAGCGGTTCCCGCTGAGGGACAGCATCACTAAAAGCTCGTTCTGTGTCTCCCTGTATTTCACACGCGTGATTCACACGTTTCCGCTCGCGCCTCCCTGTGTCGCGTCAGTCATCTCCGCCTCTCGAATCAGGAGACGGGTTTCTGCCAACGGTTCAGAGGAGGACCGCCCTCCCGACCACGAGCGGCCCAGAGGCTTACGATGAGGCCTCGTGGAGCTCAGTCCCGTCGTAGACGCCGCATCCGGACAGCACCTGCGGGAGTGGAGCGGCGGTCAGGGGG